TCATCAGGCCCTTACAGAAGTTCAATGGCATCCTGCACTCTTTTTCCCACTAGCCAGCCTGGCACTATGTCCTCAAAAATCTCTGGATATTCCCCTGGGTACAGGCCCCACTGTACTGCCTTTGTCAGGTTAGCATCAGCCTTTCCTGGACCAGTGCACCAACTTCCTGTCTGTCCCCAGGCCTACCCACCTGCCCTCCACCCCTGCACACCAACCCTGGGTGCCCTTCAAACAGTGCTGACCACACCCGTGTCATTCAGCTGTGAAAGAAGGTATCCAAATTGGAAATACTGTGAACATCACAAAAGCTGCTCAATCAAAGGCATTTGAGAGGTGGCCACACTTTCAGGTTCAGTAAGTCACAAGAATGACTCAGAATGCAGGAAGTGCTACACTTGGGATTTGTTTCATTGGATACAAATTAAGACCTGCCAAGTAATAACAGGCAAAGGCACAGGGCAAATTCTGGGAGAATCCAAAGGCAGAGTTCCAGGACACTGTCCCTGTGAACTCCAGGTACTTCCTCCTGGTACATCGGTGCACTCACACCTGTTGGTCTCCAGCATTCTGAATTTTTATTGGGGTTTCATGATTTAGGCATGGGTGATTAATAAATCACTGATCAATCCCCAGGTCCACAGGCTCCAAATTCCAATCCACAAATCACCAGGTTCTTTCTGGTGCTCACCCCATACTGAAGCTACATACGAGCTGCCATGAATACTCATTAGCAAAAACTTCATTATAACCAAAGGGATTCTTCATAAATTGTTTCTATCACTTAGGAAATTGTGCATGTTTTAGCAGCTCTGCTAGGAACCTGGGACAAAGAATAAACAAATTCTTATTTTTTCAGTACTGGGGATTGAACCGAGGGGCACTTCACTATTGAACTACATCCCTAGCCCCCACCTTTTCGCCCCTTTTTTTTCTTATTTTGTGTGTGTGTGTGTGGTGCTGGGGATTGAATCCAGGGCCTTGTGCATGTTAGGCAGGCACTCTACCAACTCAACTATATCCCCAGCAATATTTTTTATTTTGAGATAGGTCCTTACTAAGTTGCCCAGGCCGGTCTTGAACTTGTGATCATCCTGCTTCAGCCACCCAAGTTGCTGGGATTACAGGTGTGTCCCACCATACCCAGTGACAAATTATTATCCAAGAGATGGTCTTAAGGTGACTAAAAGCTGAGCTGATGATTGCCCTATTTCTTTTGGTGAAGCCATCAGGAAAGCTACGATCTTTTCCCTTGAGCTTGTAGAACAAAGCTTAGAGCTGCTGTTGGCCATCTTGCTATCAAGGAGAATACCTGTCTGAGAATAAAGGCAGCCGAGAGGAAAGCAGAGCTAAAAGAGCCAGAGGCCAAGTTCAAAATGACATTGTTAGAACCCCTGGATCCAGCCATGCCTGAAGTCATTACTTCTTATTTAATTCTTTTAACTGACAAACTACTCCCTCTTCATGTTTAAACTAGCTTGAATTGGGGTTTATATCATTTGTGGTACCCTGAGTATTAACCTATCCCTGAGGAAGAAGTGTTTCTCCCCTTCATATTAATACCTTGGTTTAACTTGGCCCAAAATGCCATCCTGTCCCATCTTCCCCAAAACTCCTTCCTTCAATGGCCATTCTGTCTACTAGCTTCCTTCCCCTTAGACTTCCAAGACTCCCTCAGTAAACCTTCCCACCTTTGGGGGTGGTAGTAGTGGTGCTGGGGGTTGAACGCAGTGCATGCTAGACAAGCACTCTACCACTGAGTTACCCCGCCAGCCCCTTCCTACCTTCTCAAACTCCAACCCTCCATTTCTGACCTTCCCTTTTCAGCAAACCTGTAAAACAGCTCTCCCCATTCTTCCTTCCACTTCATTCACTCCTTAAAGCACTAACACTTGGCATCTGCTACCACCACTTCCCTAAAATTACTTTCCCCAAGGTCACTTAGCAATCTCTCCGTATCAACATCTTCTGTAAGAGACAGTGGCAGTACGTAGCACCACTCCCATGGATCCTTTCATGTCCTGTATGCACTTGTGCATTTGCCCATTTCTCCCTCACACGTCCTGTATTACCACGGTCCCCACCTTTGGCATATGGCTTCTCTTCCAACAGTTAGAACTCCCGCCTTTTTATAATTTATTAATTCATTAATCCTCATGCTGCTGGAGGGCTTTGCCTTGACAAAAGTGTCTGAGACTCGACTTCTGAGGGATGTGAAAGTTCAAAAGGGCCAAATCCCTTGTTTCTGGACAAATCTGAGGCATAACTTACTTCCAGGGCTCCCTTGTGGTTCTAACTGAAGTACTCTCTGCCCAATAATCATGTGCTTGCTTGGCTTCCTTTTTCTCCTGCTCCCTTACTGGTTTCTCTTGGTAGCATTTTTTTTTTTTTTTTGTGGGGTGGCAATCAGATTGAACCCTGGGCCTCAAGTATGCTATGCACATGCTCTATTAGTGGGCTACACCCCAAGTTGAGGTAGTTTTGTTGCATTTTGATATTGGGGATTGAACCCAAGGGTACTTTACCCCTGAGCCACATCCCCAGTCCTTTCTATTTTTTATTTTGAGATAGGGTTTTGTTAAAATGTAGAGGCCACCTGAGCCTCCAGAATCTCTAGGATTACAGGGATGTGCCACCATGCCCAGCTCCAGGTAGCACTTTCTTAATAAATAATTTGAATACATTTGAACACAAACCCTCATCTCAGAACACTTCTGGGAAATATGACTCAAAACATCATGTCAACACTTTCTATTTCTCTGCCTGTTTAGGGTTGTTTCCCAGAACGAGGTGTCTTCTCTACATATATTACCTGGACTGTTTCATTCATGTCCATGGCTTCAACCATTGTTCCTCATGTCTGATCACCAAACTGCTTTACAGTTCAGACTGTAAATTCATCTCTGCTGGACAGCTCCACCTAGCTCTTCAAGAACACCTCCTGATGCATCTAATACAGTAGACACTCATTACATGTGACTATTTTAAAAAATTAAAACTTAAGTTCCTTAGTCATCCTTGCCACATTTCAAGGGCTTAATAGCCACATGTGGTCAAAATGTTAATGTAGAATATTTCAGTAATCTCAAGGTTTTATTGGGGGCTGGGAATGTAGGTCAGCAGTAGAGTGCTTGCCTCACATGTGTGAGGCCCTGGGTTCAATTCCCAGCACACACACACACACACACACACACACACACACACACACACACACTTTCCTGGGCAGTTTAGACACAACACTTCCAAACCTAACTCATCAACAGCCCTTTGCCTTTCTGTATTCCTCAGCTGTGTCTCTCCCAGGTGGATGGCCCAACTACAGAGGGTGTATAAAGATATGCAGGGGTAGATCACAGATAGAGATTCCCTCCCATTGGCATCTCTCTCTGAAGCAGGGTAGACAAAGCTGATGATGAAGAACCTAACAAAGGCCAGCTCTGACATGATGATAGCTTGGTTAGAGCCAGCAGATTGACTAGGTCAGAAATTACTTTTTCACAGTAAGTTCTTCCAGCCCCATCTGGCTGCCCTCAGTCTTATGCGAGTCAGAGCATTTATCTCCATCTCTTGGGTTACTTACCTCTGTGTTCCAGGATGGGCACTTGATCCAATCAGTTAGTTCTGGAAATTTTATTGGAAATCTCAGGGGGGGGGGGAGAAGTGTGCTCCTTCTACCAAGTTGCTAAGCTGTTGGGAATTACTGGAGATAGGGAAAGCCATCTTGCCACCAAGAGAGGATACCCTGCCTGAGGGTGAATCTAAATGCATGGGAAAACTGAATTAGGGATGGTGAGCCACAGGTTCCTCATATCTTTTGGACCCTGCATTCAGCCGATCCTGGCCCACTCTGGACTTTTCAATTATTTGAGCCATAGATTTTATACCTCCTGATATCCTCAAACACACCTCATTATTTCTGGGCCCCGTTTTGTTTTTTGTTTTTCCCCGTCTGGGACGTAATCTCCTGGACCACCTGCCCTTTTCCTCACAGAAGCAGCCAAATTAACTTCGGGATCCGCCTCCTCGCGGGGCCTCCCCAAGGTCACCTGCTTCTTCCCTCGCCCAGCTCCTTGGGGGCGATGTCCACGTCCCTCAGCTGCAGGGCCAGGCGCTCTAGGCTGCGGCGGGACCTTCTGAGAGCCTTGGCATCTCTCTGGTTTCCAGGACTCGGCGGCTACTCTAGCCTTCAGCAGTGACTCGAGACTCTATCCCCTAAAGTGGCTTCTCTATGGTTGACTTTTCTCCTTTGTCCGGAATTTCCTCCGAGAGGACGCTCTGGTAGAACCCAAGCCCTCCCCACGGGTGCCTCTGCGGCCCCTTTTAGATGCAACCGGAGAAGCCCCTGCAACCCTACGAGAGTCACCCGCTTCTCGCTCCCGAGGGGTCCGCACTGAGTAGGAGGATGGCGGAAGTGAGTAAGAATCTGCCCTTCCCTCTCGCCGCTCTTCTCTATGGTCGCTTCCTTCGGCGACGGGAAAAGGGGTCCTGGCGCCTGCGCAGCACCGGGCTGGGCTCTCGTCGCGGAGCGGAGAGGGGGGGCGCAGGGAGCGGGAGCCGCCGCCGCCGCCGCCGGAGCTAACCGCGGGGACCGAGATGCAGGTGGGACCGGAACCGGAACCCCCCCTTCAAGTGCCTCTTCCCTCTCCGCGACCCGACCCCGGAGCCTGAGAAGAGCCCAGGGTGGGGGTGGGCGTGGGTACCCGGGGGCAGGAGGGGCACTTTGCTCCGGGGAATGCAGCAGACTGGGCTGGTCCCCAGGAGACTGCGGCCCGGGGGAATGCGCGTGAGGGGGTGTCCAGCGAGTCGGGTCGGGTCCGAGTGGATTGACCACGGAGCCCGGAGGGTCCGAGCCGGGAGCGGAGCCTGCACCCTCCACCACCCGCCCTCCGGGAAATGTCAGAACTGAGCCAAGAGGCAGGTGCACCGGGAAATTGTTTGAGTCCTGCTTGGCAGAAGAGAAACTGAGCCACCCGCTCAGGAGCCACAGGGTCAGCAGGCCTGAAGGGGGCTGGGTCTGCCTGGTGCAGAGGACTGGGTGGGCCTGTAGGAGCCGAGGTCGCCTCTGGCTGGGGACCCGTCTCTGCTTTGTCTGCACCTCTTGGCTCGGTTCCCCTGTGCTCCATGACTCCCGCATCTCCTGGCCGCTTCTTGTGGGTTTGGAGTAGTCCCTGTATTGGGGGCCATCTGAGTATGTAAGGCCTAGGCCATAGAGGAAGGGGAGGGTCGCAAACTTGCAGCCTGGCTGTGGATTTGAGCAGGAGTGTGGGATTGCTGATGGATCAGGGACACTTTTCCTGAGCTGCCTTGGCCCAGACCTGGGGCCAGTCATTTCCAGTGTGGCATGGGGGAGGAGCACTAACCAAAGATCCAAGGGTTGTAAATTCCTCACCAGCTCTGCCACTTTGTAGTGGTGAGACTTTTGAGAAGCCTCTTCTGTTCTCCAATTTCTCTTTTAAAAACTTGGAACCCCAGTACTCTCCCTCATAAAGATAGCAGTAAGGGCAGTCATTTCTCACGTGCTTATTTTGTGTCAAGCACTGACATGTTCCATTCCATTTTCCGAAGGACTGTAGGGAATAGAGATCGTTAGCTGTTTCACAGCTCAGAGAGGATGTGTAATCTGTTTACTCCAGAACCCTGGCCTTAACCATTAGGTTAACCAGCCTTCATGGCACACTACCCTGGAAGAAAAAAGGGAGGCAGATCCTAGGACCCAGCGCTCTGTAATGTTTTGTTTTGTGGCCAGCAAAGACTTACCCTGACACAACCCACCATCTCTTCCTCTGGTGGTGCTGCTGCTGCTGTGCCCCTAGACTGATGGGGAGCTCAAGTGGGTGCTAGCCATGCCAAGTCTCCTTCATGCAGTGCTTAGGTGCTGGGCTCTGGAGTCAACTTCCAAAAAAATTGTTTGAATTCATTGTCCATCCATGGTTCTGAACGTGTGAACTCCCTCCTCAGAGCTGGACCCTAGGGTGCAAGAGGCAGGATCTCTAAGTTCTAAGCACCCCATTGGCCCCCTGAGAGCTGGGGTAGTAAGGAGCTGTCCCTGAGGCTGGTCCAGCCAGTCTCTGGGGACAAGGACTATACAGTAGACTCCGAGTTCTGAAAGTTATCTGAGCTTCGGTTTCCTCATCTGTTGGAGAGGTTATTAAATTCTCTCACAGGGAAAGGTAAGATGACCCCATGGAAACCTCTCCTATGGCTCACGAGGACTGTGCAGTAGATGGTGGAGGATCCATCTTAGAGAAGGGATAATGGTGATGAGGAAAGTCTTTTGTGGAGGAAGGTGCTCCATGGTCCTCTTGCTCCTGGATCCCACACAGGGCGAATGGCCTGAAAGGCAGCAGGAGAGATTCAGGCTAGACACCGGGAAGCCACTACGCTGGGGCATGGGGAGCATGCAAATCTGGGAGAGGAAAGGGAAGCAGTTTGGTTCTCTCCACCCTTGCCCTCTGAGGAGTCTGAACCAGAGTAGGGAGTCCCTGGCTTGGGGTGGGACATGCCCCCCAGTCCCACCTCTGCAGTGACTCCATGTATGTACCTCTCTCTTCTCCTGCAGCTGCTGCCGCTCACCCCGTGTCTTCTGGCCGCTTCCCTCTTTGTTGCCCCTCCCCACAGGCTCCCCCTCTCCACCTCCTGGGGCCCATCATGAATGGTGCCCCCTCCCCAGAGGATGGGGCCTCCCCCTCCCCTCCCCCCCTGCCACCACCCCCTCCCCCAAGTTGGCGGGAGTTCTGTGAGTCCCACGCCCGGGCTGCAGCCCTGGATTTTGCCCGCCGTTTTCGCCTCTACCTGGCCTCCCACCCCCAGTACGCGGGGCCTGGGGCGGAGGCTGCCTTCTCTCGCCGCTTCGCTGAGCTCTTCCTGCAGCACTTTGAAGCCGAGGTGGCCCGGGCCTCGGGCTCCCTCTCACCACCAGTTATAGCTCCCCTGAGTCCCGGTGTGGAGATCCCTCCGCCACATGACTTGTCCCTCGAGAGCTGCAGGGTGGGCGGGCCCCTGGCTGTGCTGGGCCCCTCTCGATCATCCGAGGACCTGGCCGGCCCCCTCCCCTCCTCAGTCTCTTCCTCTTCTACGACCTCTTCGAAGCCGAAGCTCAAGAAACGCTTCTCCCTCCGCTCAGTCGGTCGCTCGGTCAGAGGTTCTGTCCGTGGCATCCTGCAGTGGCGGGGAACTGTTGACCCTCCCTCCCCAGCGAGTCCCCTGGAGACCTCATCGGGCCCCCCAGTCCTGGGTGGAAACAGCAACTCCAACTCTTCTGGTGGGGCTGGGACTGTTGGTCGGGGACTGGTTAGTGATGGCACGTCCCCTGGGGAAAGATGGACTCACCGATTTGAGAGGCTGAGACTAAGTCGGGGAGGGGGGACCTTGAAGGATGGAGCAGGGGTGGTGCAGAGGGAAGAGCTGCTGAGTTTCATGGGGGCCGAAGAGGCGGCCCCTGACCCTGCCGGAGCAGGCCGGGGAGGAGGGGCAGCTGGGCCTACCTCAGGGGGAGGAGGGCAGCCCCAGTGGCAGAAGTGTCGCTTATTGCTCCGGAGTGAAGGCGAAGGAGGAGGAGGAAGTCGCCTGGAGTTCTTTGTACCACCCAAGGTGAGGCACGAGGAGGGTGGGCCCCTGGGAGCACTGATGGAGCAGCCAGAGCCTTTACTCAGCCCTGCACATAAGCCCAGGCTCTGCCGGCCTACAATCATAGCTTCACGACTGTTTTCAAAGTGGGCTTGAGTCTCTGATAGTAGCTGTGGGCAGGACTGAGACAGCAGTGTTCCTGCCTTTTGCCCAACTGCCTTAGAAAGGCCCCAGGAAGGAAAGATGCCTGTCTGGAGGGAGGGGAGAGCGGGCCTCTGCACACTGGAAGGCTGGATCTCATTCCCTCTCACCTAGGCCTCTAGGCCCCGGCTCAGCATTCCCTGCTCTACTATCACGGATGTTCGGACAACCACAGCCCTGGAGATGCCTGACCGGGAAAACACGTTTGTGGTCAAGGTAGGAGCTCCGAGCCTTCCACCCCGCCTCTGTGCAGTGCTTATGCCGGAGAAAGCTCTCAGCACTTTTGAGCAAGCATCCTTGTCTGCGAGAGGTATTTATATGTCAGGTGCCTCAGGAGTGTGTCTGCAGGACTGTGGCTTCCCTAGGAGATGTTAGAGTGGGAGATGTTTTCATTAGGGGTGGATGTGGCCTTGGGACTACATCCCTGGCCCCTGCCCAGGCTGAGGTCCTCCTCTTGACCCCACAGGTGGAAGGCCCCTCGGAGTACATCCTGGAGACAACTGATGCTCTCCATGTGAAGGCCTGGGTGTCTGACATTCAAGAATGCCTGAGCCCAGGGTGAGGACCTGCCTCTGTCGCTGAGGAGACCTGGGAGTGGGGGAGCAGCCTTATGCCTCTCTGCTGGTGACTTTCTCTCCAACACCATTTTTCCTGTTTCTGCAGACCCTGCCCTGCTACCAGTCCCCGCCCCATGACCCTCCCTCTGGCTCCTGGGACCTCCTTCCTCACAAAAGAGAACACAGATGGCCTGGAGCTGCCCTGTCTGAACCATTCAGAGAGTCTGCCCAGCCAGGATCTGCTTCTGGGACCCAGTGAGAGCAATGATCGCCTTTCGCAAGGTAAGGTGGGGCCTTCGGACCTGGGAGCCTCTGAGCTTCTGTGCAAGGCTCCTGCTGTTAGGCCCCACACCCTCTTTCCAGGTTCTCCTGGGCACCCCATCCTCTCCCCCAGCTGCCCCATCAATTGCTTGTCTCTTGTCTCCAATTACGCGAAGCACTCTTAAGCCACAGCTTGCCATTTAGCACCACCACTGTTACCATCCCACACAGGCCCCAAGGAAACTTCCTGACAACTTCTGTGCCCAGCCTCGTCACTTTTTTCCTAAGTCTCCCACAGGCCACTACTCTTACTGGAGATAATGGTTCTCTTCTCCAAGCTTCCAAAACACTTTGTAGACATTTCTGTTTTGTTCTTACTCTGTCTATGTTGAGGTCGCCAAATTTTCTTTTGTCTCTGTATCTTTTGGCTTGACCAAACACAAAGACACATGTCTGCCTAGCCCGGCTCGCCTTTCTAGACTTGACTTCCACTCTACCCTTTTCTTCTGGCCGCTGTTCTGGGTTTCAATGTGACAGTACCTAGCACTCGGCTCTGTTCAGCAAATGAACAAAGAAATCATAGACTCTTGGAGCTAGAATGGATTCACACAGCCTCAGAACTCAGGTAGCGGAGATCAGAGAGAGGGAGTGGCTTTTCTGAGGTCACCTGAGAGTCACTGATAAAGATGGGCTACATCGTCTTCATTCCTGAGCCCCAGCCCTCCTCTCCACACCTGCCTGGCTTCTCAGCATGGCCCAGGCCTGCCACTCGGCAGACATTCAGGCAGGCCCTAGTCCATACAGGGCCTTGTGCTAGCCCTGGGGCAGGATGGATGGGGCAACTCAGATGTCTGAGATGAGCTCTTTGCCCTCCATGTGTTGGCACGACATCACTCCTGAGAAAAAGCAGGTCCCAAAACAGTGTCTGCTTAGTATCCTCTGAACAGCACAAGCAGGAAGTCCTTAGGAGCTCAGGAGGAAGAGCACAGGGAAGGTGGAGTAGACAGAGTGCTACACAGAGGAGGTGAGACAATAGAACATGACTCGGAGCAGGTGAAGGCCAGTGCAGAGACCTGAGGTGGGGAGGGCTCAGGATACTTCGAAAAATTGGATAGGCTGAAGTGAAAGCCACATGGATGCAAATTAAGGTAAAGATGAAGTAGGCGGAGTCTTAATTTTTGCCGAGATTCTGGAGAGTGAACTCGAGAGTGCTCTACCACTGAGCTACACCCCCAGCCCTTTGTATTTTGAGACAGAGTCTCACTAAGTTGCCCTGGCTCACCTCAAATGTGCAATCCTCCTGCCTCAGCCTCACAAGTGCTGGGATTACAGGCATGTGGCACCACACCAGCTAAAAGGAGGCTTTTTGATGCCTCTGAGAGTTGGGGACTTTGTCCTATATTCCAAAAAAAGGACTCCTTTTTTATGTGAGAATTTTTGAGAGAGTCTATCTCCACACCTCTGCAGCAATTTTTCAGCTATTGATTCAGAAAAGCTATAGGCACATTTGGATTCTAGAACCTTCTTACAACAACTGCAGTCCCTCGACAGTGCAGAAAGTGGAAGTCAGGAGCCATCAGTTAGAAATCAGCAGGGGTCACTGCCTCAGAGGGGTCTGGGTAGATTGCTAGTGGGGAATGGGCAGGAGGCCAGGCCTGTAGAACAGACTCTTCTCCGGTTTTCAACTTTACCCTCCTATTTTTTTCCAGGGGCGTATGGGGGCCTCTCAGACCGGCCCTCAGCATCCATCTCCCCTAGTTCGGCCTCCATTGCTGCCTCCCATTTTGACTCCATGGAACTGCTTCCCCCAGAGCTGCCCCCCCGCATCCCCATTGAGGAGGGCCCCCCTGCAGGAACAGTTCATCCCCTCTCAACCCCCTACCCTCCCTTGGACACTCCGGAAACAGCCACAGGTACCAGAGGGGTGCGTGGGTGTCTCTCCAGGCCACTTGCCTGCCTTCCTGACGTTCCTGTCGTGGGATTCCAAGGGATGAGACCCTGGCGGAAGGGGTGGCACATGAAGGGAGGAGGCACTGCAAGCGGCGGGCAAGGCTTTTTCCTCTCAGGATGGGGAAGCTTCCCTGACACCCAGGTTTCCCTCCTCTCTCCTCCCTGAAGGGTCCTTCCTGTTCCAGGGGGAGTCAGAGGGAGGTGAGGGGGACCAGCCCCTCTCAGGATATCCTTGGTTCCACGGGATGCTCTCTCGACTCAAGGCTGCCCAGCTAGTGCTGGAAGGAGGCACCAACTCCCACGGTGTCTTCCTGGTACGTCAGAGCGAAACGAGGCGGGGTGAATATGTCCTCACTTTCAACTTCCAGGGCAAGGCCAAGGTGAGCGCCCCTGAGGCACAGGCTCTGTTCTATGCAGACTGGGGAGCTTGGGGACACCGCTGTCCAGGGGAGGAGGGTTTTGTGGCGGCCCTGGCCTCGACTCCCACCTTACTTGCTCATCCGGCCCTCAGCACCTGCGCTTGTCACTGAACGAGGAGGGCCAGTGCCGGGTCCAGCATCTGTGGTTCCAGTCCATTTTCGACATGCTCGAGCACTTCCGGGTGCACCCCATCCCTCTGGAGTCTGGAGGCTCCAGTGATGTTGTCCTTGTCAGCTATGTGCCCTCCCAGCGGCAGCAGGGTGAGCAGAGCAGGTCTGCAGGGGAGGAGGTGCCCGTGCACCCAAGAAGTGAGGTGTGTGTGCCAGAAAGCTGGGGCGGGGGGCTGTGAGGAGAGGCTGTTGGGGAGACAGGGCAGCAGAGGCTCCTTGCTAGGGGTCTGGAAGGGATGGAGGAAGGCTGCTAGGGCGTAGGAAGGAGGGCTCCTCGCCAGAGCCGGGCGGCAGCGGAGAGCTGGGCTGGTGCATCCCCATTCCATCGGACTCCTCCGTTCCATCGTCCGTCTGTCTCCTGGTCCATCCTCCCAGCCCTGTCTTTGCCCCTCGTCACTACCTTGCCTTGGGCCTGCCCTCCTGGGGGATGCTTGGTCTGATCCCCCTCCCTCCTCCCTTGATGTCTGATGTCCCTGTCTGATCTCTCCCTCTCCCCCACCCCAATGTCCCATCTGTCCCCACGATGCCCCTCCCCCCCAGGCCGGGAGCAGGCTGGGAGCCATGCAGGGGTGTGCGAGGGAGATCGATGCTACCCCGATGCCTCCTCCACCCTCATGCCCTTCGGAGCGAGTGACTGTGTGTAAGTGTGGTCCTCCTCTCACCTCCGCCCATGATCCATCTTCCATGGGGGGTGCTCAGGAGATGGGCTGGGGGGAGATAGCACATGGCTCCTGGGGAGATGAACGAGGGGCAGGTGCTGCAGGAGCCATCAGTCTGTCTTCTTACCATTCCTATCCAGAACCGAACACCTCCCATGACCTACCCCAGCCCCTTGAACCCCCTTCATGGACAGATTCCCCACATCCTGGGGCAGAAGAGGTGTCGGGGGCGCCAGAAGTGGCGGCAGCAGCAGCCCCAGCAGCCAAAGAGAGGCAAGAGAAAGAGAAAACGGGCAGTGGAGGGGTCCAGGAAGAGCTGGTCCCCGTGGTTGAGCTGGTCCCCGTGGTCGAATTGGAAGAGGCCATAGCACCAGGCATGGAGGCCCAGGGTGGTGCTGGCTCTGGTGGGGACATTGGGGTGACCCCAATTGTGCAGCTCCAGCAGTTACCACTAGGGGGCAACGGAGAAGAAGGGGGTCATCCCAGAGCCATTAACAACCAGTACTCCTTGGTGTGAGACACCCCACCCCACCCTCTCTCCACTCTTCTTGCTCTTCAGTCCTCGGGTCGTGAGGTGGGCTGGGTAGGGACATAGAGGAGACTTGGGAGTCCCCTTCCCACAGGCTTCCTGACCTTGTCAGTCAAGGGCATACGTGCTGGTACAAGCAGAGGTTCGAGAGCCCTGTCAACTCCCTAGTTCGTACACTACAGGCGCCCATCCCCTAGGCAGGGGATTTGGGCTCCATTACCTCCCTGAGGGGCTCTTATGGTCAGCCCCATCCCTGGGGGCCATTTCCCCATTAACTATCCCCCAGCCCAAGCAAGGGTGATGGGGGGAAGGGCTGTCAGTTATATTAAGGTGGTTGTTGTTGTTGTTTTAAACAAAATGGAGAAGCATAAATAAATAAAAGGGTTTATCTCAGTTCCACCGTGATGGCTGTGGCTAGTGTTTGTGGCGGGGAGCAAGACAGGTGAGTCGGGAAGGCCACTCACTCACTGTTGTGAGCTCCAGAGCTGGGAGGCTGGAGAGCCAGGGTCCTTGTCGCTCTCCACCTGTCTGACTTGGTGAGTGCTAAGCTCAGCAGTGCTTCTTGGGGTCTCCAGTAAGGTCTCCTAATGGGACAGGGCTTTGGTGATTGTTAAAGGCCCTTCCTGCCTTAGGAGAAAGCAGGCAGAGAGCTAATGGGCAGAGGGACGTGGGCAAGCTGAATGGTGGAGCACTGGCTTCCGGCCCTGGCTCTTTTCTCATTTGCTGTGTGCCCTGGGGGCCAGATGTTCCTGCTCTGGGCCCTGGTGTCCTTAACCAAGATGAGGTTTCATCTCAGTCATGCTGCTGAAGTGATTTGTTTGGTCTGGATAATGTTTCCATTTGAGTGTCACAAACACGTTTAGATTACTGGCTTCCCTTGAAAGTCAGAAGATCCAGTCGCGTGGGTCCAGACTCCACATCTGCCACATTCCTACCAGCTCTTTTCCTGCACCTACAGGCCTGGCCTGTGGGCATGGAGCTAACAAGGCCTCTCCTCTTGCAGTGCCCCCATTTTTAAACTTGGCTTTCTGAATTGATCTTCTGTGCTACAGCTGTGCCCTCCAACAGAGGGCACCCCTGGACTTTGCAATGCTGGAATGATGGGTGCCAACAAGGGGACACTCAGGTTCTGGAGAATCCCACCTCTGTGCTCAGCCCTCTCCCCGTCTCCTACCATGTCTCTCACTCCCACCCCAGCACCACCTCTCAGCCCCCAGCCTCTGCCCCAGCTCCAGGAGGCCCTACCCATGCTCATGACCTTGCTATTCTGGGCCTTGTGTCCTGTAAGAGATGGACAGGAGACAGCTGGGCACACAGGCCACCCAGGCTGGGGACTGGCTGGGGGAAGCCTGCTGGCTTTCCCTGTTTTGTCTCATCCCTGGGGCTCCCCCAAAACTTGGCCTCAGGAGACAGGATAGAATTGGCCATCAAAGGGTGGGGAAGTGCTTTGGAGACCTGGGTGCTATGTTCTCAAAGCAAGATGGCCGATGGCACCCCCCGGGTAGGCAGGGCCTGATCTCCTAATTTAGCGGCAACTGGTCCTCTGAGGCTCCCCTTCCCCCCAAACCCTGCTAGCCTTCAGGGACTTGCCTTCCAGAGATGAAGCAGGGATGGGCGCAGAGATACCTACCCACTCTGCAGACAAGCACATCTCAGCTGAGGGGCTTCAGACAACTTCCCTCTAAGCCTTTCTTTATAAACTGAAGTTCAGAACCTGTCGGGGATGGGCAGCTCAGCCCTCAAGCAAGAGGAAGAACACCTTCAACCCTGGGTGTAGAGCTCACCGTCGAGAGTCTGAGAGGGCCCATTATTGCCCATTCTCCCCATCCCAGTCCCCACCGCAGCCATGGCTCCCTGGTGGAGAGCCTCCTGCAGCTCCTGGCTGGTGGCTTTCCCTCTCTGGTTTCATTCTGCCCCTCTGGGAAGCTGGAGGAGGCAGAAACAAATAACCTCAAAGGGCCCCGTTGGCAGGAGCAGCCTGTAAAGCCTGCCTCTTTCCCTGTCTCATACTTGACTCCCCTGAAGCTACCCATCTCCTGTCTCCCCCTCTCCATGTTTGGGCATTCCTGCTGTTGTAAGACAGAGGCCCTGTCACTCCTCCAGGTGTTGCTGGACAGAAGCCAGCCAGTGCCAAAATGCTTGGCCAGTACTGGGCCTGACTCTGGCCTGAGACGGGGTGCTGGGCCAGGTGGAGGTACCTGTTGGTGTGAGCCCCAATACATACACACCCCATTGTCTGAGGCATCCACCTCCCAGGTCACAGCAGGACTCCAAGGGAGGGGTTTGTGGGAACTGTGAAAAGGGGGAGGGAACACCTTGTCCTCAACTCACCCTGAAGGCTATCCTTCCCCAACTCCAAGCACAAGTCCTAAGTCTAGGAGGCCAAATCCCTCCGTTGCATCCATCTCTTCTGGCCATACCCTCCCCAGTGCAGGGGCTTCCCTGTGCCCTGCCCCACTGCCTCCTGGTCCTGTCTGGAAGTTGGAGCCCAGGGGGGGAGAAGCAGCCTTAGGAACCCTTTCAGATTATAATCCCAGCGACCCTGGAGGCTGAGGTAGGAAAGACACAAGTTCAAGGCCAGCCTCAGCAATTTAGCAAGACTGCCTCAAAATAAAATAAAATGGACTGGAGATGTAGCTCAGTGGTGAAGCACCCCGGGTTCAATCCCCAGTACTAAAACAAAACAAAAAAGGTGTGGTAGCACAGCCTGCAATCTCAGTCCCAGTGATTCCAGAGGCTGAAGCAGGATTGCAAGTTTGAGGCCAGCCTCAGCAATTTAATGAGATCCTATCTCAAAATAAAAAAACAAAAATGGACTGGAGATGTGACCAATGGTAAAGCACCCCTGGATTAAATCCCCAGTACCAAATTAATTAATTAATAATAATAATAATAATAAAAACTTTTCAGTCATCTATACATTCCTTGTTCATGGCAGGAAACTGAGGCCCAGGCAGAAGGACTTGAGCCCAGGGTCACTGGGCTGCTTGCTGTCACTCACCTTTCACACTGCTCCCATGGAACCTCTGCTGGCTTCCCTCCCCTGCCCACATGCGCCCTGGTACCCAGTCTGCTTCTCCAGCAGCTGCCTCGGTGGAAACCAAAAGACGCAGGGTGGGGAAGGGCAGCTCAGAGCAGCTGCTCCTCTCAGGAAGCTGACACCAAGGCCAGCCGCCCAGCAACAACTTGTGGCTTTGCACCCAACCCTGGGGTCCCCGCCCACCTGGCGGCCACTAGCCAGCTCCCCGCTGTCCCTTTTCCCACTGCTTCTCACACTTCCCATCTTTTCGCTGTCTCCGTCTTTCCCAGCTCTGTTCTTTCCTCCTGTCTCCCAGACCTGTTCCTCAAGTCCACCCCCTCCCTATTCCTTTGGACGGGAGCCTCTGCTCTATCCAGCTTCCCAGGTGCCTGTCAGTGGGGCAGGCCCAGCCCCTGCGCACAGCCTGGGTCTGATCCTCATTCCCTCTCCAGGGTGTTGAGGCATCAGTGCCAGAGTACAGTGATGACGACATGCTTTGGGGTCTACCATATAAACCCCCCTGGGTCAGAGCGAGCACAGTGGGAAATGAAGCGACACTCATTCCATGACTTGGGGTGACCCCCGCCCCCATCCTGAAACAGTTATCCCTCCCCCTCTGCCATCAGCACATTCTGTAGCCTCTTGGGTTACCTGGCTGCCTGAGTGTCCCATTTTCCTGTCAGGATTCCCTGTCAGGGATGGGGGGGCACTGAAGGCTGTGTTCCCAGAGGCTGAGCTCGAGCGATGGGGGGAGGCGGTTTAGGGGAGAGACAGGCAGTGCTGGCTTTGCTCACCAGGCCCTGGACACTAAATCCCTTGTTGATGGCTGCAGCAACCCCTCCCTAGGGTAGGGTTACCATCTTCAGCCCTGACCCCTTGACCCTCTCCCCTCCCTACTTCCCCTTGTCCCTCTAGAACTACTTCCTCTGGTCCCCAAAAGATGTTCTTCCCTGCTTTGGTCCCCTGAAGGCTTGGAGTATCTTTGCTGCTACTCCCACAACACACTAGTGAGACAGTAGGCAGGCCCTGGAAACGGGTTCGGGGTAGGTAAGACTGAGATGGAAAGAGGGTGTGACTGAAACAAAGGGCCAGGCCCCAGAGTGGAAGAGGACGTAAGGGAAGAACTGGGGGGATGAGTCTGGGACTGGAAATTCAGTCATCAGGGGAAGTTGAGACCATTGGGGGTGGGGTCAGTAGCAGATGATAATGAAGTCTATCCTTGCTCCCCCCCCCCAGGGCCAGGGCCACCTCTGCTTCCCTCATGAGTGACATCTCAGGCTGCAGCCCCACTGTTCCCCTCTGTCAGCAGAAATATCTCTCTCTTCTGACCCCTCCTGCTAGAGTCTCAGCCAGCCAATCCCTGATCTGGGGGAGGGGGGAGCCTGGCCCCCCCCACTCTCTCATAAGGACCAGCTGGGGGCTGGGGGGGTGGCCGGCTGCCGCAAGTGGGACGGGGGTCAGAGCTTCGTGGAGGGAAGGAAAACCTGGGGGGGCCAGGAGAGAAAAAGGAAGAAACCCAGACTATAGGCAGGTAGAAACACTGAGGAAGGCCCCCACGCCTGAGAGTCCCCCGGAAGGAACACACCGCCCCCTGGCCCCCAAGAAGGGAGCACAATGGAGGCTGCACATGCCAAGACCACAGAGGAATGTTTGGCCTATTTTGGGGTGAGCGAGACCACGGGCCTTTCCCAGGACCAAGTTAAGCGTCATCTGGAGAAATACGGCCCCAATGGTAAGTGTCCCTTGGAGAACAGACTGGTAGCACCCACATGCATACTCGGAGCTGCTCCTCCAGAGTATCCTAGGGACATGGTCTGATGGTTGCAGCAGGGAGAGGATACTGAGCAAACTGGGTTTGAGATGTGGAGTTTGGGGAGGTTTTACGGGATGACCTTGTGAACCTCAGGTGCCCTATTGGTGGCCTTAGCCACAAACTCTTGGGTGTGGGGGCCAGGAGGCTGAACCCCAAATGAACATGTCCTTTTCTCCTTTTTCCCTGCATAGAGCTCCCTGCAGAGGAAGGTAAGTACTGGAAGCCCTGAGCCCTCATAAATGACTCACCCTTCTCCTTGCCATACAGACCCCACACTCCTTTCCTAAAGGCAAAGATCCCCTTCCCAGACATTGCAGTATCCAAGGCAGAAGTCTCCAGGCACTTTCTCCTTGAGGCATCCCACCCTTGAATAACTGCCCACTATTTTGAGGAGCCTGCCTTTTGGACTCCGGGGAGCTCCCTCTGCCATTCTCTCATACAAGCCCCTGCCCATCATCCTAGGGATTCAGGGCACTACATTCCCTGGACCTCAGCCTATATGCAAAGTCCCAGAGTTCCATCCTTTGGATCTTAACCCGGGGGACCCTTCCCCTTGCCTCTCCCTTCTCCCCT